GGGGCGCGCGGTGGGCCGGCCGAGCGCTGCCCGGCGCTCAGTTGCGGCTGAGGCGCGGGCGCCGGGCGGAGAGGCGACAGTGCCCGTGCCGTTGCCAGCGGGGCTCCGCCGCGGGCGGCCGGCGGGTGAGGAGCCATGGCCACGGCCACTATCAGGTAACGCCAAGTGCCCGCGCAGCGTCCGCAGCACAGCCCGACGTCCCGGGGGAAGGGGTGGCGGGCGCTGATGCGCTCTCGCTGGCGGGGCGGAGGCGCCCAGCGCGATGCTCCTCCGCGGCCAGGCTCTTCTGCGGGGCAACGCGGGATTCGTCCCATCMCTCTCCTTCCGCCGCGAGTTGGTTTGGTGGCTGCACGCCCGCGCCCCGGGGCGAGAAAGAAGGGAGAGCCGTAGCGGTGCCCTGCCGGCCCCTCAGCCCGGTGGGGACACCGCTCCCGGGGCTCCGCGTTGGCTTCTGGAGGGCAGGTGGGCGCACCCGGCGATGCCGATGCCCAGCGGCATCGGGAGCGAGAGCCCCAGCAGCTGTGCGCCGGGTCGGGCCCGCAGGTGATCGGCGGGGCGATGGCCGGGGGTTGCGTGCGGCGTCGCTCGGCAGCGGTGCCGCTGTCACAGGTAGCGCCTGGGCGTGGGCGGCCGCCGCCCGCCGCGGGGTCCCGCCCGTCGCCGTGGGAAGATGCGTGTCGTGGGGCTCCGGCAGCCGCGTTAGAACCTTAAACCCTCTCTGCAGCGTGCTGTGTCTGGAACCTACTTTTAAAAGAATCCCCAGCAATGAGAAGCAGGGTCTTAWATAGGAGGCTGGGCTCTTGGCAGGCTGTTGGAACTGTGGTGGTGGCAGCCTGTCATCGAGACCTGGAGAATGACAAACCCATAACTTAACATTCAATGAAAGGAGTTACTGTGACCAGTTTTTCTCCCCAAATGCTTCATCTTAAGATGGGGCTGTAYTATGAAGTAATTTGGTAACCTTTGATCAGGCTTTCAGCCGACAAAGAAATGCCTAAAATTACAKAGTCCAAGTTTAGTTTGATCATTCAAGGCAATTCTCCCATCTCCTCTCTGCACCCTCCAAACTCTGTGTATCAGGTTTCATTCCCACTGTTTCTGACTGAGACGGTAACTTTGAAATTGCAGTAGTATTTCGCTGTTGGAACTTGTGGAGTTAGTGCAGCTGTGTAAGGAGCTGGGTAGTGGTGGAACAGTTTTTTCTGCGGCAGGCTTGCTTACATAAGGCCAAAGCTTTTTAGGCTTGTTTTCAAAGTTGGAACCTGTGAGTATGTCTCTTCAGAAGATGACAAAAGTTTCCTAATAAATGAAATCTTCGGTGAAGATTTTAAATCAGTATGTAAATATGTAACTGCTTAGCCAAATATTTTCTTTGCTTAAGACCTATKTCAGGAAAGCATGTGAGCAGTCCTGCACCTTGTGTGTTTGAGGTCTATATGCTRAAGGGATTTGCTGACCAGTGACACAAGGGAAATTGCCTGAACTCTGGAAGCATGCAATAATAGTTCTGAGGTGCTTTTGYGATAGATGAGTTATGGTTAACAGTAAATATCATCATACTTCTAATGATGTTGCATAGATAAGTAGGATGAGAGRAAGATGCTCTTACTTGAGGGCTTACAGCTATTCAAGTGCAATAAATCCAGTACTATTGCTGTTTTGCTTTAGCTACATATAAAAATTATTTTTGGCAAGTTCAAATCTTGTGTTATATGGGGTTTAACTYTGTTCCTTTGTGATTAGAATGGATATGCTGAGAACAGGCTTAAAACATGCCTTGTTTGGCCTTACTTTAAAGGGAATAATGAAACCCTTTAGWAATAATAATGTTTGCGATCTTACAAAACTGTATCTGAAATTTGTAGAAGGAAGACTGGGCATACAGCGTGCTGCCATGCAATTGCACACCCAAATGTCTCAGTCATGTTTTAAGGCTTTCTGACTTGCCAGTATCCAAAGGCCCAAAATATTCCTCTGTCTCTGTGCCAGTAACTAATAATAAGCTTTCACTGATATTTTGATGTTGCTCTTCCACAGAAGTGCGCAGCAGCATGGGATGATAACAATATTGTGTGATAGTTGGATACAGTAGTGCTAATGTTCAGCAGCCAACTTGAATCAGGACCATATTTTTAAAAATGCCTGCAGCAGTAGAGCAGGACGTTGGACACAGCTTTCCAGATCATTCAGTTGTGCTTGATTTTGTTGACTTCTTAGAAAAGGTTTAAGGGTAGCTCAGTAAAGATACTGTGGGTTATTTTTTGTTTATTTGTTTGTGTTTATTGTTTTTGCTGTAGTTATTGTTATTGCTGTAGTTTTGCCTCCTAGGTGGACAGTGTGGTTTTGTGTCCAAACAACTTTTAGATCTGTATGAACATCTTATTTGTAGTTTAGAATTTTGTTCATATATCTGTACTGTTTGTGTGCATATACACATGTACATGCTGTACATGTAATTGACTATATAGTCARTTACACATGCACTTAATTTGTGCAGGGGAAAGAGTTTTCACCTGCTTCTTGAAGAGCTGATCCAGATATTTTTTTTCAATAGGTTAGTTGGGTTAAACAAGAACATCCTTCTTGAATGATACCAGTACTCCGATGAAAGAGAGGGGACTGGGGGGAGTCAGGGAGGCTGGGGACTACACAAGTGTGTTTTGTGTCTGTTGCAGAGATGGTTCCCCAAAAAACCTTTGTATTGTGAAATCTCAAATTTCAGGAAGTTGTTAATGCTGCCTTGCTTTTATCCCTAGTTGGTAGGAAATTATCGCTGAAATTTTAATCACAGCACATGTCTAGAGTGAGTGGACAGCAAACATAAGGCCTGTAAAGTTCAAATCTACTGTTCAAAGTCTTCAGCGTGGTGAGAATGTAACAGTTTAATATCTCAGATTTTTGCTCTGGAGACTTACAAATTTAGTATTATCCAGAATCACAACTATTTATTTTGTTCTATTACAATATGGCTTTACAGAGTATATGAAATTAATTTTTTTTTTTTTTATTGAGGAGCAAACTGCAGCCAAGTAGCTGCTCTACCTCATGTTGTGCCACAGGAAGTGCAATAGTATAACTGCAGAAATTTTTCAGCTCCTCAAGAAGGGAAGGGTCATTTGCATTGCACTAAATGTAGCCACTGTTGGGTTAATCAGGTCGAACTTGCTAACGGTTTACACAGTCAAGTCYTCCTCTTTATCAGTAGGACTTTCCCGATTGCTTCACAAAGCTTATATCAGAAAATGCTGATCACAGTGGGTATCACAGAATCAGTTAGGCTGGAAAAGACTTCCGAAATTGAGTCTAATCTCTTAAATATCTGCTTGCTGACTTATTAAAATCTGTGTCTTAGAAATTGTTTAGACTTTCCTTGTTTTGTGAATTAGGTATTTTTGTCAAATGATGTGACAGTTAAGGAAAGATATAACTCCAGTCCCCAGTGCAAATGGAGTGTGTAGATTTTTCTCCTTTTTTGCCAATGAAATGTGAATATATCTTCTTAAGCATGGAAGTTCTAGTATCTTGGGATTTAGGTAATTCTGACATCTGGATGAAAGAACCAAAAAGGTATAAATTCATGTTAATTGGAGACACAGGACTAGCAGTTAATATATGTTAACTTAYGTGTTTGGATTATGTGTAAAAATCGGTAAATAGGTAAATTCCTTCATAGAAGTCAAGGTTAATCTACTCAGAAGTTTTATGTGTTTAAAAAGCTGTCAAGTTCTCCTGTCCTACATTTGGTTGTGAGAAGCAACTACACTGAATTTGGGGAGGAGTTTCAGTAGAATGTTTCTGAACTTAAATTTACTAGTCTAGTGCTAGCTACCTTGGCTTTTAAAACTTCATTCCAAATGGCCCCCTRCATACAGCCGCTGGAATACTTGAATGGAGGTGATTATAAAATATTGTGGGAGAAGGAAGGCTTGGAAATGGGCAGGACTTACGTGTGATGTAAAGAGCTGCCTGGATTTAATGGCATCGAAAGTGCTAGCTCCTGCCACTGCTGGGGGTTTGTATGCATGCTATTGGCTTCATAGAGGTTCTGTACAAAGTAGCTCTTGTGATGCYTCAAATATACTAACCTGCATGTTCTGCAGCCCACAGCTCACTGAATGTTTGGTAGCATCTATTTTGCTTTTCCATTGAACAAGGTAACTTTCATAGGCGGTCACCTCATCATGTCTGCTGTATTTCAGATTTTTTTTAAGTACAGCTGCTGTTTTTTGGCATACTCTCYGCTTAAGTGCTGGCTCTTGTCTTATGTATCGTGGACAACTTCTACATGTTTTTTTCTTAAGTGTAGTTACAAATTTATTGATGTATAGAATTTCACAGCATGTGAGAATCAGGTAAACATTAAGTACAGGAACATATAGCTCAGAACAAATTTGCATTCAACACTTGGAGAGTTCTGACTTCATTCATTGTCCTACTGTACTWCTTATGCAATGCCTAGGTTCTACAATGGAGAGGATGTTCTGTCTTGTGACTTCAGCTGCAATCCCCTTTATCCTTATGTCTTCTGAACTGTCATCTGTCTCTCRCTCTTCTTGTCTTCTAGCCAGGTATAACTTATGGTTATGCTATTTAGAACACTGTGCTATTTGTCACACTGACAAAAGTAYTTAGTGAGTYTTACAGGTTTTTCCTAAGCAGATGTTAACTATCTCAGTTAGGAGCAAGCTGGATTTCTGSCTCCCTTTTCACAAAGCAGCATCTTCCACATTTTATTTACAGATAAATGAGCTCTAAAGACCTATCTTCAAAGCTGCAACAAAAACTAGGATACTTAAAGCATGGTTTGCTGTGTCTCAGTATCAAGGTTATTAATCATGTTTTCCACACTGCAGCAGGTCACTCTTCCCCTGAGTGCAGTCCTTCAAGGACAGGCYGCTCCAGTGTGGGTCCTCCACAGGGTCACAAGTCCTACCAGGCCACCCGCTCCAGCGCGGACTCCTCTTTCCTTGGGTCTGCAGGTCCCAGCCAGGAGCCTCCTGCAGCACAGGCCTCCTGTGGAGTCACAGTCTCCTCTCAAGCATCCACCTTTTCCGGTGTGGGTCTTTTCCAGGGTTGCAGGGCAGTCTCTGCATTCCTGTGGACATCCATGGGCTGCAGGGGATCATCCTGCTTCCCCATGATCTTCACMACAGGCTGCAGGGGAACCTCAGCACCAGCTCTGGTGCCTGGGGCACCTCCTCCCCCTCCTTCTCAGCTGACCTGGCTGTCTCCAGAGCTGTTCCACTCACATGTTCTCCCCCTGCTCTTTTTTTTTCTGGCTGCAATTACATCTGTACAGTAACTTTTTTTTTTTCCTCCTTCTAAATATGCTACTACCGAGGTGTTACTGTAGTTTCTGATTAGCCCAGACTTGGCCAGCAGCTTTTCCATCTTGGAGCTACTAGGGATTGGCTCTGCCAGACAAGGTGGAAGCTTCTAGTAACATCTCACAGAAGCCACCCCTGTAGTCCCCTGGCTACACAAACTCAGGACTGGTGGTCATAGTGAAGGTACCTTTGTGGGCAGAGCAAGGGTGTATCTTGCTGGTTGGAGACAGTAGGTGTTAGTTTGGCAAGGAATGTGATGGGTTTGGATGTAGTTTTTAGCCTTAGAGAACAGCTGCATTCACTCCTACTTGACACTAGGCCACATATCTAATCCTTTGGTATTACTGCATTATCACCCAAGTACATTCTATTCTGGAAAGTGTAACACATGGTTTCTTAATTAATCTAAAAAAACCAAAAGTTAAAGCTATCCTTCTCAAAAGTTAAAGCTATCCTTTTCAAAAATACTATCTACAGTATTTTTGGTGTCTTTGTTTCTATGTGATAGAAGTCATGGTAATGAATTTCAAATTGCTTTAAAAGGACATACATCCTACCAGCCGCACTGTTTAAAATGGCTGATAATGCAGAATCCATAGTCTCTTTATTTCAGTTTATTAGAACAGACTTGATTGTTAATTATTTGCTGGTACCCGACAACTGMATGGGTACCGTGAAATTCTTATTCTCTGGCGTGATGCTCCCCCTATCTAAAATTGGTATTACAACTTCAATGTTATCCTTTAAAACTACAGAACATAGCATGTATTTCTAATTCTTTATATGAATAAATTACAATTTAACAGAAAATATACCTTTATTATTGTAGTTTGTATTGATCAAAGAAGATCACTGTAGGATGGTACTTCACTCAAATTTGACTCGGTGTGTATGCCAGGTCTCCGTGTGTCTACTGGGCTGGGCAAAATGGGTACCTTTTTGTTTTTGTCTCTAATAAAAAACAAGCTTTTATGTATATTAGGAACAATAAACCAATGCAAAGCTAACTTGAAATTGATTCTCTTCCAGTGAAAATGTCCTCTTTGGAATGGGAAATCCTCTGCTTGATATCTGTGCAGTTGTGGACAAGGACTTCCTTGACAAGTGAGTCTTGATTTCTTTATTTTTTTTAAATGTCAGTTTTGTTTCCAAGATGATGCCTGTAAATAAATGGAGAGCTAACTGCCTATGTAATGCTSCATTTGTGCTGATCTCTCAGATTCTGGCTTTATGCTGAAAGTAGCCAACATGGTATCTGTCATTTGATTATTCTTGCCATATACAACTGGTGGTGGTATCAATGAAAACCCTCTGGTTGTGATATCAGTGAAAACCTTCAGTATTTTCATGTGTTTTTATCAATTATTTATTCTAGTCACCTCATTCTGTCTTTGCTAGACTTTAATTGGAAGGAGTAATCAATTTCAGTAAGATTTAGGTAACTCTTCTATGAATCTTTGTATGCTACTTTTGATTTACTGTTACTGCACTCTTTCTTTCTTCAGTGATGACCATGAGGTAAATATGCAATTTCTGCAACACCCCAAGAAAAGTTGTGCAAGTGTACCTTTAAAAAAAAAAATTTCCAGTTTGTCAGTCAAGAACAGAGCCACTTCATATCAGGTTGTCTTTTACCTTGCTTAAACGTACTTTTTATGCTGCATCCATATAACCACATAACTGGATTGCTTAATTAGCATTAAACTTACTCATTCTTGAATCAGCTTAGAGATCTGTCTTTTCAAGAGGTGTAAAATACAGTTGCTCTTTTAAATCTTTCAGCATGAGCTCCATTTTTTATTGTTGTTGCCACTTTTTCTCTGGTTTGTAAGTTGATCTTTCAGAGTGCTTGCAATTCTTTCTTTAATTTTTAAAGAAATTAATAATTTTTCCTCTAATTGTTCTTTGTTTTGTTAATGGGAATACCACATCAAAACTGGATTTCACACTGCCAAATAAAGAGCTGGTGCAGAGTTTGTATTTTTGTATGTGTATTGTCAGCCACATATCTTTTGTTCTGCAGCTTTTAATAATAGCRATAATGTCAATGTTTCATCACTCAAATTTTATCCAGAGGTGTGTTTGAGTGAAAGTTTCTATATTATAAGCTGGAGACAAAGGACAATAATGTAATGGAGTGTGTCAGTCTCAAACACTTGGAATTTCAGAAATCAAGTCTATGTTTTCAATGTTAAAAAAAGTAARTTATTCTGTATAGACTGCCTCTTATTTCCATTGAAATAACTTGAAAGCCAGTCTCTAAAAATAAATAATGCTCTTCTCCCAACCTAGCAACACCCCTCAACTAATCCTTATAAATTGCTGACATAGAAGAGATGATGGCCAGATCCTTCAGGAGTGCATTGTGCTTTTCACTGGATGTGATGTGCTATGCAGAATTTAATTTAATTTAAAAATTAGAAGTCTTATGTACTCAAATTTGAGTCCTGTCAGACAAATTAAATTATCTCCAGGAGCAGCATATGCTCCATGAGCATTTCTTTCCTGCCAAAATGCCTTTGTGGGGTGTTGCATTATTTAAAGCCATAAGCAGTCTTCCAGCAGCAGTTTTCCCGAGAGGCTGCTGATAGTGTGATAGCTCAGGTGATAACCTCAAAATCAAGGAGCTTGTTTGCCTTCTCACGCACTTGATTTTATATCCAGCTCCCTGTTTGTGAGTGTATGCAGAGAAGTCCATTTAACAARCCAACAGGAGTGTTTCTACCCCAACTATCTTTTGCACTATTTCCTGAAATGGGGATCAGATCCTGCTTCTGCAGCTTGTGAARGGAGATTAAATAGAAAATACAGCTGTAGAACAACTGCTAGAATAAAGTTACCTACTCAGATGCTCCAGGGAGGTGCAAGAACATTGGCATTTTAGGACTGTGAAGCATTTGAAAGAGAAATTGTTGATGATTTTAGTCTTTCTTTTTTCTTGTCAAACAAGGCATGCATCCATCTCTAGCCATGTAGTGTCAGCTCTTGGTATCTTGGCAACCTGGAGTCTGTTTCTCACCTCTTCTACTGGATAGGAATGTTTAATGGGGCCATCAGGCCAGTGAGGCTCTGACTTGAGAAGGTAGCTTAGGAAAATAAGGAAAGATTTGAGGTAGACACCCATAAGAATTGTATACGTTTAACTTTTACAGTGTTTATTAGTTTATACACCTCCCTTGTACAGTCAGTTTTAAGAATAAATACTTGTTCAGAATAAAAACTTGATGTTGCAAGTTTAATCAATGTATATTGTTAATGAAATGGGAGTATTAAAATGAGTCCTGTAAACAGCATAAGGAAATGTAGGAAGTAGTCCTTTTAACAATATTCAATTGGCCTACAATCCATGTTATAAATAAACTTGAAAATAAATCTATAATTCCGTCCTACCCCTGGCAGATTGTAAACAGCCTGCTGCCATGTAATGCTTACTGGTTTGAGGAAAGGAGCAGTGTTGGAGGGCTCAGTGGATATTTTTGGCCTGGGTTGTTAGCAGAACCCTGTCTCTTTGTATTTAAAGTGGATTTTGGTTTAATCTGGGCTCCAAAGTCTTTTGCTCTCTTGACAAGTTTTGGAAGGCTTTAAGCCTTTCCTAGACTATCTATAGGAGAGGCAGATTTAATTCATATTACAACAGAACTTGAGCATGCCTRTCTGAGCTTTTAAGACCATATCAGCAGTCTGGCATTACCTGAGCCAGAGAATCTTTAGCCTCTGTCAGGTTATGATTTCTGAGTCCCATTTCTTACTGCTCTTCAGGGAGACAATCTGGAAAAGTGTTAGCAGTGTTGATGGCACTGTTGAAAACTGGTGATACCACAAACCACTTCAGTTTCTGTTTACAGAACTGGAAAGAAGTCTTGAAATAAATACAGTCCATCATATGTCCTTGGGTTTTTTTTTAGTATCTGCCTGAAAGAAATACCAGAAATGTGGTTTGTTTTTTTTTTTGTTCTCCTTTTAGTTTGCATCAACTCCATTACCTAAGAGTATTTTTGTTTAATTTATCAAGATACAGATTCTTGCTCAAAGAGCAGCTTCTTAGGTGGTGAGAGGGACAAGAATAGAAAAATTAATACTTTGTGGGTGAATTGCTAACTATAGCTGTGCTAATCTGTGAAAATARCTTTGCTAACAGGTATTCATTAAAGCTTTTGGTGTACTCAGTTCTACCCATGACATTTAACAGGAATGGTTCTTTTACCTTCTGACTGTAACAGGCATTTAAGAATAACTTAATCTACACTACATATATTAAACTCTGCTAAAATGGGCAAAGAAATTCGGATTAACATGCCAATGACATTTTAAGACTCTAAACTCAGTACTGCTGACTCCCGTAAACACTCCAATGTCCTCCTGCTGTTAAAAGTTACAAGATCGCATGTGTTTCATTGCTCTCCCTAGAGCACTCTGTTTTGTAAATATTCAGGTTTTGACACTGAATTTAGCTTACCTAATTATAGTTAATGTTTAGGCTGTAGAGTTCTGGTCATTACTTGTCATCTCAAGTGCACTTCCAGGGGTTGAGAAGAGTGTGTTCACAGTATGGATAAATCTCTTACTGCATCTGCAATCTGCATCTTACTGCATGAGCTGAGGAGGAGAAGAGAAACAATGTCGACAAACTGAAGCTGACAAACTTGTGCCAGTCCTGAAACTTCCAAATGTGTGAAACCTTGTATTTTCCCTAACTGATCAGTGGGAAGGCAAGAAAAATATTTGTAATTGCCAGCACCTGTAGAAGCATGTAAATATCTTTCAGCTCATGCTCTTAAATTAAAAGGTGTGGAGATACAGGGGAAAACGATGATATGTCCTATTTATCACATTGAGGTTAAAGAATCATATTGCAGGATTTCACTTTTGCTTCTGGGCTTTTGACCAGAGCCATGATCTCATAAGTTGAGGTATATTTACTATTCTGGTTGCCAAATTCCATTATAGTTGCAACCTGCAGACTGACTGTTTTGTCACCGTCATGGTGCAGGATTATAAGTTTCTCTGTGATTACTTGTTGGTTGTCCAAGCAAACAAGTAATTTTCTCTTTAGCTCTTATTTTTTCCTCCCCTAAAAATTAGGGTCTGTGGCAACCTTTGCACAAAGTTCATTGAGAATGCTTAATAAAGACCTCTAGTTTTTAATAGCTTTCGTGCCCTCTATTATCTGCTCCTTAGTTCTCTTCTCTGTCTTCTCTATGACACTGGTGTAAATATACAGGCTTTGCTGATAGACTTAAGTGGGGATCCCCTACTCCCTTCAGACTTAAAGCTTTTTCAGTTTCACTGATGTGGTTGCTTAGATTCTGTTCTTCATTAGCCCTCTGGGATACATTAATGGGTTTTTGTATTTMTTTGAGCTGGGAATTGTGTTACCTGCTGTCCTGGTTTTGGCTGAGGCAGGGTTAATTCTCTTCCTAGTAGGTGTCACAGTGCTGTGTATTTTGGATTGACTATGTATTGTCCATACAGTAATAAATATATGGAAAGCACATAGTAAGAACTTTAAAACCCATCCCTGAAAATTTGACCCTGTATTTTTCCTCCTCCCACAGAAGATAGCTTGGTATAATGTTCCCTTGTTTCAGTAATTCTTGTGAAAGATTGCTCCTAAAAGTATCTGTTGCACTGGGTCATTTGGCAGAGAAGCTTAATAGCCGAGTGTTGTATTAATTGCCTTGTGYTTTTAGTTGTATCTGTAGAAGTCAATTTCATTTATCTCAAGGTCTGAACATAGAACATTTTTGAAACTGTTGAGCCCAATTGCATCATCTGACTGCTGGTAAGTTAGAAAAACTSCAGTGTTTGCTTACAGAAACTTAAGGTAACGATAGATGTCTTGAGAAGGTCCTCTCAGTACTATTATGTCTATAAATTTGGTAGTACTCCTGATAACATAATTAAAGCTTTCTACAATCCTAATAATTTCTCCTTGAACATTTAGTTTAACATGTACTTTAAGTGAGTGAAAGGTTTTAGTTAAGCTCCATTTAGAAAAGGGTGTTCAAAAAATCTACTTATGGAGTGACAGTACTGTGTGGCGAGCTGTGAAGTTTTTAGGGAATATGGACTTTGAGCAATGTTTATAAAGGAGCTTGTAACTA